AACATTTCTTATGCACATTTAATTCACACCGGACGCACGCCGTGAATCTCCAAGATTTTATACAGATCTGTTAGCACGTTTAATTAAAGATCTTCAAATTTATTTTGATAGGTTAGCTATACCTCTGTTTGATAGGGAAGGTATACCTACCCTATCAAAATAAATTTGAAGACTGAATTCGAAATAAGAAAAAGAAAACATAACATTAAAGGAATATTAATTAAAGATTTTTATTAAATATTAAACGGAAAATAAAAAAGAACATTTTTTAATTAATATCAGTTATTAATATTTAATATACCTATAGGTAATAATAATTATATATAATAATTGCAAAACCAAATACGCGGGCACTCGTGCGCATGCGCCTATGGCCATCACATTTCAACTAAATGCAGGGTTGCCGCTTGCAGGTATTTGACCCGAAAATCGCGTATTTCATCATGCTTGCAAGTAAAATATTGAAGCAGGTATTTTATAAATTTTACTTTTCAAAGAAATTTTTAGTAAATAATATTGTATAACTACTAACTAAACATAATTCTTTAATTATATCCTTTTATTTTTCTCTTAATTTATTCAAAATTTAATTCACTTTTCCAAATTGAGCAAATGTACTAGAAATTTTTACTCGTGTGGGTAATTACTAGTATTTTGTAATTTTTGGTCAGGAACTTTCAAGAAAATCATCCGGCTGCAATCCGGCAACACTGCAGCGTTAGTGTGCATACGCAGCTAAGAGCCACGAGGTTTTCTATAGAATACCATATACAGTGGCGGATTTACAAATTTTCAAGGTATAGGCTGAATGGTTTTTGCCGCCCTTGCCTCAACAATGGTCATATCATACATTATTTTTACAATGCAACAATTTCGTTGAACATTTTTTTTGAACTAAGGCTATCTCGATCTACTGTTCAAGATTTTTTTTGAATTCCAATCGAATTTTCTGAAGCTACTAGTGCATGTGAAACACATAATAGTCAATACATAAAATTGAAATCGGTAAAATTATTCACTAAATTATTCATTATATTCGAATAAAAATCGAAAAATTATATACAAACCATCCAGTTCGTAGCCTCCAACCAGTAGTAAGACTGGCATGTATGGGTTGTTAGTGGGAAGAGGGGCATATTTTTACAATTTCGCTCTTTTCACTCATAAGAAGTGTGGGCAAAGGGCGCAGAGGCGAGAGGCCGATTACTGGTTGAGGGGCGGCGAACTAGCTGTTTTACTCTAGAATATGGAAGTTTGCTACTCTCGGAATGTGCAATGACAAGTGAGAGAGAAAAGTCATCGACAAAATTTGTTGCAGACTTCTATCTGTAAGACATTAGAAAACCGTCATAGAAAAATCTTTTTGATTTCTATGAGGTAAAAAAAAAATCGTTCCCCAAATTTGCCGCCCCCAAAATCTGCCGCCCTAGGCTCGAGCCTACTCAGCCTGCTGGTAAATCCGCCACTGACCATATATGGTAAACATCTAGCTAGATATCCTCAGGATATTATCCTGTATACCGGTAAAACGTTCAGTTCATATCCTTTTTCTATGGTTCAGAGATAAACGTTCAGTTTCAAGGTGTATGATATGTTCAATAAATACTTAAGTTGCTAGCCAGGAATTCCAAAGGTAAGTTTGACATTTTTATATTTTAGCATGATCAAATTTAAGATACGAATTTTATTGTATATATACTATAATAATTGTTACAATTATTGCAAAAAGAACAAAAACAATGAATAACCATGGTTATAACGCTTTATTGTGGTTATATTTTTTTATAAAGTTATTATTCATTGTTTTTGTTTTTGAGTCAGATCACGTCAAGTGGACCCCCCATTTTCCACTTGGTAATAGAATTTAAAATTAATTGTGAAAAAAACTGTTAAAAGTTTCGTAGTGAAATTTTCAGGACTTTTTTTTTTAATTTTTTTATACTTTTTTTTGACCATTGAAATATACAATTCAAATTTTTGATAAAGTCTCTATCAAATAATCAAGTTTTTTCATGGTTACATGTACTGGATATAAAGGTTTCATATCCTGAAAAAAAAATTTCACTGCCCGGCATTTCTTTAAACATTATTAATTTTTTACTGCAAGGCTCCGCGCCTCATGAGTCGAAGCCGCGCTCGGCTGAATTGGTTTGAATGATTTGTTTTTATTTGAATTCAAAATATGACATCCATTTTAATATTTTTATTAGTAAATATACAGTCGACAAATATTTTACAATTTTTTAATCAATAAAATAAATGAATTAATTAATTAATACAGAATATTTTTATTAGCTATCGCAAGACTTTTCTTTATACACAAAAACAAATATTTTTTTTTGTTCTAAGCGTTTTTTAAATAATATTTATTAAATTTTATAAAATGAGTCTTGTAAATAAATGCTTTAATCCATTAATAATGTTATAATTTATATATTTTTTAAGGACCAAAAAGAAATTAAAATAAGGGGAAAAAATGATGCGTTATTTGACTCATTTGATGATGTGTCCAGTGATGAATCAGTAAGTATACTTATCTGTAGATGTAATTTCATATATGTGATACATAATATATACCTATTATAATAAAATATTATACAGTATTATACTCATGTGTATGCATTAACTAGTATTATTGATGTTATAATTCATATTTTTTTTAAGGTTAAAGAGGACATTGAAACTTCTGAGGTTGATTCGGAATAAACTTTACAACATAACACTTTGTGTTTTATTTCAGTATACTATTGTACCTCAAGTTTAATTATACAAAGTTTATACTTCTTAAGAAGTCCCATAAGCCAACTGAATGGCTTGTGCCGGTTAGGGGTAGGAACGGACCGCGGGTTTAAAGTCCCCTTCGAAGGACTAATACACAATAGGACAAACACAAATAAACAGCCATACCCCTGGTGGAATTCGAACCCACGACCTCCGGCTTGTAGTCAGCAGCACTAACCACTAGACCACCGTCGGCGTGGAAAATATTCTCCAATTGGACATAAATCACATCTTTATTTAACATTTTTCATTTGACTTTATTTACAAATATAACAAAATCTGTTATTTTAAAAAATAACACGTTTTATTTTGTGTTCCAATTTAAAATTAAGTGCAAAAAAAATTGAGTATACGCACGAAATTCACCGTAAATACGCACGCGAAGATGCGTCCTCCCCTTGAATTCACCGTAAATGCACAAGTGAAGCTCGAAGTGAGTGCGCATGCATGCTAAAATTCGCGCGAAAAAATTGAAATTATGGTGAATGCACATTTTTTGTTCAGAAAACTTATTTTACTATATAGGGGAAAATATGTTTTCTGAACATGCACCCTTATTTCATTTTTTTCGCGCGAATTTAGAACACGCATGCATTTACGGTGAATTTAAGGGACGGACGCATCTTCACGTGTGCATTCACGGTGAATTCATGTGTGCATTTAAGGGGCGGACGCATCTTCACGTGTGCATTCACGGTGAATTCAATGGGCGGATATATCTTCACGTGTGCATTCACGGTGAATTCCAGGGGCGGACGCATCTTTTAGCAACCGTGAATTCACGCGTGAAGCAATATTTTTCACCGTGCATTCACGGTGAACTCATGAATGTTATCTTTCTTTAATAAATACCTACTCAGCGCCCCCTTGTAACCTCGCGCCCCTAGGCACGTGCCTAGTTTGCCTTAGGGATAATCCGCCTCTGGTGGGGCCCATAATGAAGGACAGCGGATATATCCGCTTACTGCTTAAAATGTTATTCTATATATAGAATATAGATGTAGCTAGATTTATTGATAAAATTTAAACCAAAAAATTAACTTATGATAAACAATTTGTTTTAGATGTTTTACTAATACGTATTTAAAAAAAAACTAAACTCCGCTACGTTTTGCCATCATTTTGTTCCACCGCCGCTACGCCGCTCTTGGGGCTAAATCCCGCTATGGTTGGCAACACTGTTGTTATATACAATATTGCAGACGATCTCTTTCTATGATTTTTGCCTTACCTCCCAACCCAACCCTTGTCTCTGATACATACACCTTGCTTCGTATCGGTTTGTGCTCCTGTCTCTAGTCTTCGTGGTGTATGCAAACATTGTACCACATGTTCTTTGCATTGTACCATAATACCATGGGCGCCGCTACATAGGGGCAGGGGGGGCCCGGGCCCCCCCCTGGAAATTCATACCCAGAAATTCCGGTACTCCATAATTTGACGGTAAGTGCTGATCGTTATCATTTGTTCATTATATTTTAATTTAACATAATTTGTATAGCGTATACCTATAAGACCATAGAAAAAGCTTTTCCTAGGATATAAGACGGCTGTACTACTAGAGGAGATTCCTCGGCGATACAATTTTTTTTTATTTATATATTTACTAAAAAACTGTGATGTATTTTTTGCAATATTTACCAATATAAATAAATAGGTAAATATACATATAAAGATGATATTTTATTTGACTTAAGTTTAATGTGAACTTCTACAGTACAACTATAAATAACATCAAAATTGTAAAAAACTTTAAGGCCCCCCCCCCCTAGACGAATTCCTTCCGGCGCCCATGCATAATACATATATGTATCCCCATATAAATAATACCATTAGTAGGTATTATTTCTATGTGTATCCCCATAGAGAAACCATAGACTACTAGAGAAACTATGTATATACCTACACTAGGCATGCCTAGTGTAGGTATATAGTGCATGTACCATGACAGTGTACAGCCATAGAAAATCCCGAAGGGGTACATTTTATCTTATCCCATAAGGTCCAACAAATATTTTGGCGGTTAAAGAATTCTGACAGTGTTGCCACATCAACAATATAAGTGTAAATTTAATAAATATTGCCGTACTTAAATTTAAAAAAATGGATTTTTATTATATAATCATACGAAATTACAAAACACCAACAAAAAATATAAATTAAATCGTCAATTAAATAATAAAGATGTTAAATAGATTGTAAGTTTGGCAAGATGGCGGCTTGGATCTACGCGCAAGCGCGCATTTGAAAACTTGTACAGAGTCCTAAACACAGCGACGCTTTTGAACAGTGTTTTTTTTACAATAAAATAGGTACTATTAAACAATTAAATGTAAATAAACCAACAAAATTTATTTAAAAACCCAATGACGAATAATTATTGTTCTAGTGAACATATAGTGATGAAGTAAATATCGTATACTAAGTAAATAAAAAATGAATGACATTTTGTGACAGTTTTGTTATTTGAAAATTGCGATTTAAGTGTTTTTTCTTTTTGTATCGATTTAATTATGGTATTTTTCACGTAATTATTAAACTAACATTAAAATGGATGATGCTAGGTGAGTTTGATAACCTTACTTTTTGCTACAAACAAACACAAGAAGTTTGATATTAAGAATGTATGCTTTTCTTCATAATTTTATTAATACAAACAAGTTAATACGAAATATTATTCTATTCTACTTTTTTGGTATTTTATTTTAGCAAATCTTCAGAAGATGACAGTACTTTCGATGAAGAACAACTATTGGCAGCCCTTGTAAGTATCGTTAAACAATAAAACTACTTTCTAAGGACTGTAAACTGCAATGTTACAACTAAAAACGTAATAGTTTTGCTGAAGAGCTAAAAGTAACAACTAATTATTACATAGAAAACATTTCTTTTTCCAGAACTAAATTAGTATTTTTTTCTTATTAAAAAGTCGAAAAAAGTAAAAAATCTTATATGAAATAGCCCTATTTTTGGATATGTTAAGAGAAATTGTATAATCTAATGACCATATGTTAGATGTAACAGATTTTAAGAATGTACCCATAACTATGGTAAACACCAAATCTATTGCCCAAACCAAATTTGCTTAAATTTTAACTAATACTTTTTAAGTCAACAATGTATTTTAACCCTATTTTATTAGAGTTTCTTAAAAGGTTAAAGTTATTTTAGCTGAACTTGACTAAAATTACTAATTTATTTGGGCAATGGATACGAATTTCAGTAAGGTTGTTTAAATATGATTTTATATATTTAAAATAGATTCGTTGTTAATTTTCAAGAGTCCACAAGCCAAATACTTGATTTTACAAGGAAAAAGTTGTAATAGTTTTGTTTTTTCTAAAAAATAGTTTTTATTTTATTATTAATAATTATTATCATCATTTTTACTAATATTTCCAAATCCTTGTATTTAAGTATTGATCTTGCATATGGTGTGAGAAAATACTTCACTCTAAATACCGAAAATAAATATACAATGCGGTACCTATTTAAAAAAAAATCTTACTTTTAGTTTGGTCACCCTACATATTATAAGTATATACAGCAACTGTCCCAGGGCTTTAATACACCAGTATATATTTTTTTGTATTATAGTAACAAAAGCAACCAAAATCGTAGATAACTTAAAATTATGACCAGCAAAAGGTTGATTAAAAAAATTAGTCAAATTGATTAAATCCAACTTAATTTTGTTGATATATTTAACATTTAGTTTTTCAATTTTTCCCAAGTAGAATAGAGTAATTGCATCAAAAATTAAAATCCCTAAAAACCTTTTTAATGTAATCTAGAGGTAAAAACACATTGCGAAAATATTTTTTTATATTCCAAAAGTTAAACCCGGCCCCAAAAAATCAAATTGAAAAAAGGTACTTTTCAAACGTTTCCGAACTCCCGCCATATTGCATGACGTCATAAACCTACACCAGTGTCAGAAATCAAGATGTCAACAAATAATAAACACCGATAAAGTTTAACATGTTTAACATGGAAAACGCGAAAAAATTGGTTGTAAATATTGTTTTGTGCCTTGTTGTACAAATACAACCTAGAAAACTCCTGGGAAAGTTTTCCCTTCAATTATCAAAGTTTATGACCCTACACTGAGAGCCGTTACGGCTCAGCCGTATTTTCTTGAGTTTATTATTATTTAACATACCTATTCCAACTACATACCTAGTAAACGACATTATATTTTACTTACATTAAAATGATCCTCGCAGCAATATAATGTTGACTGCGGTGACGATGTTTTGATATCGCGCCGAGCTATTTTAATCCACTTTATCCTTATTTTCCCTTTTGGCACGGTGATAAACCTTTTCCCAGGAGTTTTCCAGGTTGTATTTGTACAACAAGGCACAAAACAATATTTACAACCAATTTTTGTTTTCGCGTTTTCCATGTTAAACATAAACTTTATCGGTGTTTATTATTTGTTGACATCTTGATTTCTGACACTGGTGAAGGTTTATGACATCATGCAATATGGCGGGAGTTCGGGAACGTTTGAAAAGTACCTTTTTTTCAATTTGATATTTTGGGGCCGGGTTGAACTTTTGGAATATAAAAAAATATTTTCGCAATGTAAACATGTCTGCTTTTAAATTCACACATCAATTTTGCTTATATAATAAGAAGATATTTTAACTGTGTCGTGGTAGATTTAGTTATTTTAGCGTAAGTTGCGATATCAGTTTTCGTCACTACAATGCTACTTGGGTTATCTGTTGACATCACACAATAGAAATGATTGAAAGTTTAAATTCAAAATTAGATTGTATGTCATAGCATTTCTATTAAATATCGATTCCTTTAGTAAGTAGTACTCACTGAGTATTCTTATATGTACGAGTATGTTGTGTTTGGGACACCCTGTATCTATAGACCTATTCCATAAAACGGACTTTTGGATAGCGCGTGCGTGAAAAGGCACCTCGTCCTTTTTTTTAATTATAAAAGAGAAAGAGATACCACTCTTCTTCAGGCACGCGCTATCCAAAAGTCTGTTTTATGGGATAGCTCTATTGTTTAAGAAATTTTAAAAAATGTCATGAATTGGGTTTTTTGTATCCTTGGATTTGTCTAAAAAAAGTGCAAATATTTATTAACTCGACGTTATTTAAGCCTTTTTCTGCTATATAATACAAATGCGTTTCGTTTAATTTCTATGTTTTTAAAATGAAGATACCCACTTTCTTCATTAGGGCGGCAGTTTTATAGCTACCTATTTCTCCAAAAGTTATATATACAGGGTGTCCAAAATTTATTCATACACTGAGAAAAAATGGGACAAATAAACTGTGTAGCCAGAGCTGCAAGCTCTCAGAAAACTTAAATCGTTTTTTTGATTTAAATCGTTTTAATGACTTAAGTCATTTGGTAATAAGTCATTTCTCTAAAACTGACTTAAGACTTAAAATTTAAATAATTTTCAAAATGATTTGTGACTTAAATATTTTTTTCAAAATAGAAAAAACTTAAGTCATTAATAAAAGGCTTAAATCAGTACATACGATTTAAGTCATATAGAAACGATTTAAGTCAAAAAAAGATTTTAGTCAAAAAAAGATTTAAGTCTTTTTGAAAAAGATTTAAGTCTTTTTAGAAAATATTTAAGTCTTTTTAGAAAATATTTAAGTCAGATTTTTCATATATTTTTTTATAAATTTTTAACAGCGGCATTTTCTTTTGAACTGCCAGGGGTTCACGCGGGGGCAGATCAAAAACTCCTTTAATTTCCTGCCTACAATTGCTACCGCTAGTGAATAAAAAAACCGCCGCGGTTAGCTTTTAATGTCTTGTCTAAAATAAATTTAAAAAAATGCGGTTTTAAAATTTTGTTATTTTGTTTGCCAACATTCGTCGTGTTATGCGTGCGTTAGGTCTAATTTGTAACTTTTATCTATTTTAACAGAGTTTGAATCTATTACCGTTTAGAAGTTACCCATTTATGTATACATACAAACATACAGTGAGGCTACTTTTTTATATATATATAAAAAAGTAGCCTCACTGTATGTACACTACTAAAAAAGGTGGTTTAAGTTTTTATTTTGATTGTCTACTCAAAAAATGTGTTTTAAGTTTTTATTTTGTTTCTAAGTGTTCTGAAAATAAATCGTTTTAAATTCTTAACATAGTGGTTTATTATCATCTGTATCTACAATAGATTAATAATATCAGTATCATTAATACCATAAAGTTATTATTAACATTTAAAAAATCGTTGTATTGACTTAAGGGTAATTATTTTGATTTAAATTACAATTTTTGATTCAAGTCATTTTATTGACTTAACTCTTAGATCACGATTTAAATAAAAAATATAGACTTAAGTCATAAAAACGACTTACTAAAGGACTTAAGTCATAAGATGACTTAAATCACTTTATATTGATTTTAGAATTTGCGAAAATGACTTGACTTAAAAGAAAATGATTTAATTCAAAGACTTAATACTTAAATCATTTGAACTTTATCTTAGAATTGACTTAAGATTTAAATCATTTTGATTTTAGAATTGACTTAAGACTTAAGATTTAAGTCTTTTTAAAACTGACTTGTTGCAGCTCTGTGTGTAGCTAATACTTTTTATTAATAGTGAATATATTGTTTATTACCTCTAAATAGTCGAAATAATAACGATAAATTTACTTTAGTAAAACTATGTGTCAGGAATAAAAATATATTTAGGATAAATAAACAATTCTTCTGTCCCATATTTAATTATTCTTTTCATTTGGGAACCATAAACTTTTTTCTCAGTGTACTTATTAATAAAAATTATCTTTAAACCCCACTTTAATTGTATATATTAATAATATAATTGTTTATACAATAAATTTTTTTGTAGGACGGAAAAACAAGAAAATCAATTAAACCTGGAGATGCGTTTAAGGATAACAGGCTGGTGGTGGACGTGCGACAGTCAATGATTCACAGAGCTTTGGCAAAAAAAAACGATGCCGGTTCAAAAGATGTCGACGACGAACCGCATAAAGGCGCTGAAGACGACGCTCCTAAAACGCCCATTGAAGATGCAAACGGCACACAAAAAGATCAAAACCAGCAAAAATTCCACAGCACACCGATGCCACTGCACGGATTTCAACGATTCTCCATGGAAATATCCGACATCGACTGCGATTCCAGCGGCTTATGCCGGGTGACGCAGAAAAACACCAGGCAAAACACCAGAAATAAATACGTCAACACTGAAACAAACAAGGTTAAGGATAAAGAAACAATAACTGTTAATGAAGATGTTGGAAAAAAGGATGCATCGACTACAGTTAATGAAGATGTTAGAAAAAAGGACGCTTCAACTAATGCAGGTGCAGCAGGGAAAAGTATGTGTACTAGAAGTAAAAACAAGTCTTCAATGCAAAAATCCATAGGCACGTCGCCAATATCCCAGCGGAATAAATCAACGCAAGGCGAAAGCGTTATAACCATCAATTCAACAGGCAATACTTTACCAGACCTTTCAAATATAACATTACGCAGTAAAAATATTCCTGATACTTCATATTATCTTAGAAACAGAAAGCAAACAAATCCAACCCAATGCATCAGTACACTTTCTAAACCTACAAAACATAACACTCCACCCAAAAAATCTCTAGTTATCCCTTTATGTCAATCAATTGATGTAAAAAACGCACTTCACCGAGATCCAACACAATGCATCAGTACACTTTCTAAACATACAAAACATAACAGTACACCCACAAAATCTCAGGTTATCCCTTTATGTCATTCAAGTGTAAAAAAAAACACACTACACCGACAAGTCTTGAAAAAAACTTTCTCTTTAAAGAAAAAACGGGTCAAAAATAATAAAACAGTTGAGAAAGATGACTGGCCTTTTAATGAAACAGGTTTTCACAAACTGGACAGCCCCGGTCATCCACACCACACTTCAATAAAAAAAATCCAAACCACGGCGAAGAAAAAACAACGTGCCAACCACACGATGGTGGCGCCTGATGATTTAAGCGTATGTTCCAGTAGTAAAAGCGACGTCTTGGAGGATATCTTTGCCAGTTCAAGCAAGTTGTTTAAGTCCACTGATAATAACGCCATTCCGGATTTTTCCATCTACGAAAACGATTTTATACCGACCAACGTAAATGAACCTTGGAGGTTCGAATGTACACCGTCGAAAACCAAGGAGGGAAACAGTGTTAACTTGAATTTTTTGAATTACAGAACATCTAATATTTTTAAAGAATCCGAGAAGGTTGTTTTAAACGAAAGCGTTATCAAAAATGCAAGCAAAAAGGTTAAAACGAAGATGAATAAAAGGCGGAGAAAAACTGTTTATGGTAAGGTAAGACCCAGAAAGAAGACCAACAATAGTTTATTGAAAACCCTCGAAAAATCAAGGGAAACCAAATCAATAGCTGAGAGTCCCATAATGGCAACTCAAGAATCTCCATTACTTAACAAAAAACGCCTCAACAATACAAAATCTCAACTCAACATTCCCGATATTCCCGAAACACCTTACGTTGCCACACAAGAGAAAGATTTTACATGTTTAAAAAGAAAATACGCATCACAGGAAAATACCTCACCTCAAAAGAAAAACAAGACCATCCAACCTTCCCCTTTACAAGAACTTCCAGAAAGTCCAGTATCCACGCCAAAATCAAACCAAAATGAAAACTTAGGATTGAGCCCAAAAATAAATCCAAGAACTAAAAAACTATCCAGGTGCAATTTAATGAAGTCCTTTTCGCAATTCAACAATAATGAAAGTGAACGCCAAAATCAAACAGAACATATAGAAAGCGATTCAGAAGTGGAATCCAGCCGAAAATCCATGGAAAAAAACAAGCAAGCTTTAAAGACCTATAAGAAAACTGAAGCTTCAAAATCTCCAAGGTTGCAAAGCCCCCAAAGACTGCAAAGCACTTCAAGAGTGGACAGTCCTGTAAGAGTACAAAGTAATCTGAAAGTGCATAGTCCTACGAAGGCACCAAGTTCAATACGCGTTCTAAGCAACTTAAATTTACAAAGTACTTCAAGATTAAAATTTCAAAAAGTACACAGTCATTTGGAAGTGTGTAGCCCTACAAAAGTAGGAAGTACTCCAAGAGTGGACAGTTCCTTAATAGTACAAAGTACTTCAAGAGCACACAGTCCTATAAAAGTAAGGAGTACTCCAAGAGTGGACAGTCCCTCAAGAGTACAAAGTACTTCAAGAGCACAGAGTCCTAAAAAAGTAAGAAGTACTTCAAGAGTGGACAGTCCCTCAAGAGTACACAGTCCTTTGGGAGCACATTGTACTAAGAAAGTAAGAAGTACTCCAAGAGTGGAAAGTCCCTCAAGAGTACAAAGTACTTCAAGAGCACACAGTCCTAAAAAAGTAAAGAGTACTCCAAGAGTGGACAGTCCCTCAAGAGTACACAGTCCGTTGGGAGTACATTGTCCTAAGAAAGTAAGAAGTACTCCAAGAGGGGAAAGTCCCTCAAGAGAACAAAGTCCTATGAAAAGTCAACATATTTTGGAATTACCAAGTCCTATAAAAGTGCAAAGCCCTCCAAGAGTGAAAAGCCCTGCAAAAGTGCGAAGCCTGCCTAAAGTGCTAAGTCCGCAAAAGCGTAAATCCAGTCCAAAAAAAGTTGAGGATGACGTGGTTTACAAGAAACCGGAAGTTCCGCCTCCTAAAAAAACAGGCAGAAAACCCAAAAGTAATACATTTTGATCGTTGTAATTTTTATATTTATTTTGTTTTTTTTCTAGATGATACTGTTTCATCATCCACAGTTTCGTCAACATTGGGTTCTACCATATCCAGTTCAGGTATTTTGGTGTCTATAAGTCAGGGTTAAATAAATTCTAGTTAAAACACTTATTGGTTTTTCTAGCTATACAGTTAGTTATATTGGAGGGGTTTAGAACTAGTTTAAAGTAAAAAAAATAAAACATTTTAGGAGTCAGAAAATCTACAAGAGAAAGACGAGCTGCAGTCAATCCTTTCATGTGTGTTTATTATGTAGGCACTCAAGAAGGTAAATTAATTTTTTATAATAATTAATAAAACAATAAAAATACCATACATTTTTGTATTGTAGGTGAAAAAACTAAAGCAAAGAAGGCTAAGGAAAAAAAAGTAGCTGCAGAACCAAATAAAATTACAAAAACGCCAAAAAAAAGAGGGTCAAAGAAAAAGGTTCCTACCTCAGAACAAACCACTCAAAATATAAATGAGGAGGAAAATATGGTAAGTTGTGGTCAGAATTTTAATTTTTTTTAAAGTTATCATTAGTTAATTCTGCACCAACAAATTGGATCCTTTGGCAACATGAAAATGCAACGATTTAGTTCTTGAATTTTATTTACAATATAATCTAACTATATAAGCATATAAGCGTTAAGTTTCTTCATCAATGATATAATAATATAATAAGGAATAATAAATCGAAAGTTTTTTCGTTTCGCGTTGCAAGTAAAAACGGCTTTATTTAGGGTATGTAAACCATTATTGTCCAATAATTATTATGTAATGAAATGAAATTTGGAGACAAGTTATACTTTGATTTCAATAAATGCATAATAAACTTACATAGAGGGTCATTTAGGGTCTATAATAATGATCAATGTTAAGCAAATTTTTGAATTATAAATATGCTTTAAATGTGTTCATATTATACCGTCAAAATTAACGCATAATAAGTAAAAAAATTGTAACTCTAAAACGCCTTTACCAATCTTTATAAAATTTTTGATAAAAATACTTTAACTTATATCTCAGTTAACATGTTCAAGGGTTTTTCGAGAAAATAGCCCTTTTATTTAAGTAAATAAAAAGTATGCTGTGAAATACCGTATTTTTGTAAGTATACCCTGAAAATGTTTTACAAATCAAACGTAAACAGTAACGAAAATACAGCGCTTTAAAGTCGTCAAAATTGACCACTTTTCAGCAAAATAATCAAAAAGGGGTTATTTTACCGACTTTGAAGCACTGTATCTTCGTTACTGTTCGTTTGATTTGTACAAAATTTTCAGGGTATAGGTACTAACAAAATATTTTTTATATACTATTCCCTAAAAGGTATTTTTCAAACGTTTTTTTATTATTAAATAAAAGGGCTTTTTAATTTGTATAGATACATTTCACACTTTTATATTATATTTTGACAATTCATGTAATTTTTGATGATGAATAAACTTTACTTTACTGTATGCTATAATATCGTGACCTCATGATACGGGGGAATTTATTGTTTTTTTAAACGGTATAGAAGTTTTTAGTGAGTAATCTCTATAATCATTTCCCAACACTATTGCAATCATTGCAGATTTATTTATGCAGATTTATATCTTAAGAATGGTAATTATTATCGTTCTCAAGATATAAATCTTTTAAATGTCATATTATTAAAATGGTGTCTATTTTTTTTAGATTACTTCAAATCAAAATTACCTAGCAAATTCTCCTCTGCGGGATGACGGAATGGAACCCGATTCCCGAATGAGTGTAAAAGGTTCGTCGTTTAAAACGAAAACAAGGTGAGTCCTTATATAACAATTCCAATGAATAATTTAATTATTTGACTTTGTCTGCTATTTAGTGTACTTTTAAAATATGAGGAAAAGACAATTTATATATATATTTTTTAGTTTTAGTCCGTCAAAGGCCAAACGCCTAACGAATAGCCAAAAAAAGAGGAAGTCAAAATTGGTGCCAAATGACGAAAGTGCAAAAACACATACAGAAGAATCTACATGTTCAAACAGCAGTCAAAAATCATTGTTTTCTGAACTTATTACCATTAATAATACATCTTTTAGTAAGTACATTAGATATTAGACAATTTTGTTGCTATATTTCGATAATTTTGAAGAATATAGAAACCTTTTCTTTTCCTACTTACCTGAAAGCATAAAGCTTAATTTGGTATAATTAATTACACTAGGCAACAAATTTTAACTTAAAAAAAAGGTCCTGGTTAAAAATATTTTTCGATTGTTTATAACTGAAATAGATCCAAAATGTTTTTAAAAAAAATTTCTGAAGTCGTAAATAAAAAATAGGAGCACAGTATTTTGGTACCATTTATTGCATAGATACACCATTTGAAAATTTTAAGATGACGTTAAAAAACTTATATTTCAGCATTCCATGAACAACATATCTGTACATATTGTAATAATTTAAGGCATGTTTTTTTGATGTTTACTGTTTTTTATCGTTCAAATTACTTTGTTTACTAATTTTTATCGTTATTATTTAACAATTTTTCTTTGTATCATGGTGCTGCTAGTATGGTCTAAACGAGACTTTGGAAAATTTTTTGGTAGCCGGATTTGCGTCGAGCAGGTCAAAATCTATGGGAGTGTGCTATTTTTTTTACCGACCTTTTTTATTTACTAATTTTTATCGTTATTATTTAACAATTTTTCTTTGTATCATGGTGCTGCCCGTATCGTCTAAACGAGACTTTGGAAAATTTTTTGGTGGCCGGATTTGCATCGAGCAGGTCAAAATCTATAGTAGTGTGCTATTTTTATTACCGACCTTTTTTATTTACTAATTTTTATCGTTATTATTTAACAATTTTTCTTTGTATCATGGTCCTGCCCTTATCGTCTAAACGAGACTTCAGAAAATTTTTTGAGCGCCGGATTAGCGTCGAGCAGGTCAAAATCTATAGGACTGAGCTATTTTTATTACCGACCTTTTTTATTGTTTACTAGTGTTATTTTTTATGCATGGTAGAGTTTAATTGTTAAACATAATAATGCTTGATAAAATTTTTTATTTATTTTCAGGGTATATAAATCAATCAAAAAATGTTGAAGCGAAAAATATGACAAACGGTTTAAGCATAACTGAAGTTCTAACCAATCCAGTGGCCAATGGGGTTATGGGCTTTATTAACCTTGAACCCAACGCGTGGAAAAGCCCTAAAATATGCAAAAAATATGTTTTGGTTAGTAAAGAATGAGTTGGTGGTAATATGGAACCCCATTTTATTTTTTTCAGAGTTTATTATTTTTAAAAATATAAATTTTAAAACAAATTTCAAGCGTCCAAACAGTAAAAAGTATCGCAATAATCATAATAACGGGTTACAATATAAATAAATATAATATAAATACAGGGTATGCTAAAAATGGCGCACTAACGGCTTATTAAGTAAGAATAAAAACTCAAAATTTAGTTTTAGTTTAAAAAATTTGTCAACGCTGCAGGGCGCAGTGTATTTTCGCAAGGCGAGGCAAAAATTTAAAGTAACTCCTGTGTGCAAAATTTGCTTACGAATTTTGACAATTTTAAAAATAGTCAAAATTAGAGTTTTTGTTTTATTTTATTGCTTGTCAGGTAAACTTTTGTACAAAAGTATCAATGGTACATTTATTCATTATTATATTAAATTAACCCATAGAATTACTTCAATCATATTTTTTAAATTAAATTTTTAAATAATATTTAAAAAGCAATAAATTCAATGATGAGCAACCTTTAAAAATTCATATTTTGAGCTTTTACCGTGGCGTGTAAAAATATAAAAAATAATAATAGAATTTTTAATCCAGCTGATTTTTAAGAAAGCTCTTAAAACATGATTAATCATATTTTCATCGTAGACTATTAGGCATTTAATTATATAATCAGGCCAATTCACATGAGTCGTTAACGTTAGCCACTCGAATGAGTGGTTATCCTTATATTCAATCGACCAGATTGGCCGAATTGGCCGATAACCACTGATTCTCGTGGCTAACGTTAACGACTCATTTTAGTGAATTGGCCTGAATAGGATTAAACACAATTTTCTAATTTTTCGAAAACATTAGATCTATGAAAAAGAGCTTTAGGTTTATTTCTTAAGGATTCACAAGCATTTACAATTCACGGCATTAATTCCTTAACGTTATGAAGTGGGACCGCATACCCCAATGATTTTTAATATCGGCCTTAACATTGGCCTTACCGTACATGAAATGCATGTTGGCAATTTCTTGGAAAGTGTAATTTACCATTTTTGTTCCAAATACGCTAAAGAAGTATCGGGTTTTCGAAACGCGCGCGCCATCTGGTGGACTTCGAATGCATTTCGTTAATTTAAGAATTGTCAACAATAAATTTAAAGCACAGATTATACATCATTTTTAAATAAATAGGTAGTTTTTTTTACAAAAGAGGAAGGCAGAAGTCTTACTTGACAAATTTTGTTCAATTGCACAGCTAAATCGCGCACGTTATTTGTGTTTTACGTTGCAAGGACAAAATTAAAAAACTTTTTTAGTACTCAATTTCGATTGATTATTCCTTATATCATTGAAGAAACTTAACGCTGAAATGCTTATATATGTATTTACGTTAGTGTGTGAATTTTATTAAAGGGATCATGGTGAATTGTTGTGTTTTTAATTGTAAATAAAATTTAACTAAATCGTTTTTCATGTTTTGCCAAAGGATCCAGTTCGGTCAGTACATTTGTTGGTGCAGAATTAACTAATGATAACTTTACCTAATATAATTTATATTTAAGTTTGGACATTTTTAAGAAATTAGTAAAAAATAATTTTTGCACAAACAACGTTAAAATCAACCATTTTTATATTTGAGTTCTCTAAAAAATGCCGACAACTGAATTTTAAACAACAAAATATACCTACGAATTCATGGCAACATAATATTATATATAATACATAATATAATGGTATTTTACCGTTGAGTGGAGACTTTAAAGAATTCTTAATCAACGCTTTTAATAATGCTGAATGCTGTTTAAATTTAGACGACTGATTTGTTTGACGATTTTTACTGAATTGAAATGATTACACTTTTTACGTTAATCACTACTAAAATGTGTATTTATTGTATCTAATAGGTACAATTTATATTTACAGAGACTATGCAATTTATTTCTTCATTCAGATTAACACTGTTTATTGGAAAACCGGTAAAAACTCAACCCAGAATTTCCTCTCGATCAGAACAAATCAACCCACGGTTTTTTTTCGATATTTTTTAAAATTTTCCGGCTTTATTCTCAAAAACACTAACCTAAGCGTTTGACAGCTAATTATTAAAAGTTAAGTTACGATGATAACAGCCGAGTGGTGGCGCTACTAGCGATACTTCTTTAGCGTACAGTTTTTTCTTATTTATGTTATGACAAACGATTTGACAAATGTCACCACTGACAAAATAACGATATTTGCGAAGCAGGCTAACTTGATATTTTTCTATTGCCTACTAATTCGCTTGATACTTTTTGTGGCGAGAAATTTTTAATAGCGTTTTTCTCGAAAACGGTTGGCTTTATGACTGTAACAAGAGCAAATTTTTTACGTAAAATTATCTGGAAATTTATATTCAAAATTATCTGGAGAATTGTATTGAATAATTGAACAGAACTTCACGAAGAAGTTTTTTCCCGAGTAGCCGCTGTTTCGCACGCCTATGGTAATCTTTTATACGATTTGACACCACCATATGATTTCTTGCCCAAAAAATACCCCAGAAATAAAGCATCATTATTTTTGCACTAACCGTTTCTGAAATAATTAATAAAAACCTGACTTTGCAAAACAGTTTAAAATGCCTAGAGCGCCCCCAGGAGGCATTATCGGATAGCAACTTTTTCTTTTATTTTTACGTGTAGAATCGCCCTTGAAATATATTACGTTATTTCCGGAATAGTCTTAGCGCCAACTGCCAAAATAACTAGTTTAAAGACCTGTACAGTGTACATTTGTTTTAAAATACAAAATAATCTGGGCTTATAAATTTGTTATGCGTTCTTTGTATAATAGAATAATGTTGAAAACCGGATTTTGGTTATTTTAAAATTTAAATAAATTTTCCCTAACTCGTAATTAGTGACATTTTTAAAAATGATTTTTAGATTAACTTTGCATCTTTATCTCTTTGGTTTAAAATAAATCATTTAAGATTATTTTTAAAAGCAGTCTTAGTTGAGTAATTTGTATTCTCTGAAAGTCGATTGTATATTTTGTATCCTTGGTAAAATTAAAAAAATTCCATTTTTTTATATTTTGTTTTCACACTTTTTAGGTCCATTTGTTTTTGTCCTCTTGTTTCATATTCATGTGTGGTGGCTTCTTCTAATCTTGTTTTTTTGGTTATTATTTTGAGTACTAATTTAAGGGTTTTTTTCAACTAATTGTGTTATTTGTCAAATATTTAATTAAATAGTAATAATTAAAGTTTCTTAACTTCATGATAAAATGTAATATTTTTATAATCTGTATTAAAAATAAACTACCAGCCACACGAAAGTCTAATACTTACCCTGGAAAGTTCCTATCACAGATTATCCTATTTAAATATTTTATTTCCACCTTCTTAGTAAATGAAATTTTATAGGTTAATTTTGTTGTTTTTGTATCCAAGTAAACAATGCATTATGGTAACAGACATGTAATATTTTACGGGCTTGTATAAAAGACCTGTAAAGTTGTACATGGTTAGAAAAGCAATTTATGAAATAAAATGTCACATTTGACATAATAATTAAAAATTTAAATTTTAAAATCGTTATCTAAAGGTGAAAATAAAAGTTTGTATGTATCAAGCTTTGCAATTAATCTTTACTAGGCTCACTGGATTATGGGGTTCACCTCCTGCGTCGCTCACCCCACAAACTTTTAGCTCGCCCTTAAAAATTCATTTACACGTAAATAACTAATAAACTGCCTTTATACAGATTTTTTTCATTAATATACAAACTGGCCTTATTATACTTATAAAATGCATAACCATGTTTGCAAGTCATAAATAATCATTTACTTTTTAAAATTAGGTTGCATTTCTTATAAAAAATACAAAAATTAATTGTGCTTTAACATTTGACAAGTATTTGTTATTTTGGTTATTTGGTTATTGGAGTTAATAAAACTAAAACACAAAAATGTGATTTGTTTGATAAAATTGTATTTCTACCTACTTAAAAGTCGTCTTTATTGTTTGTTTAGTGCTGTTTTCGAGTTTTGTTTTACGGTTTTTACAACGACTTACGACGTTCAAAGTATAGGGTAAATGTACAATTTTGGTGCTAATCATATAGTTGTAGTATAGCTGCTAGTTCTATAAAAAGAAAGGGGTTCCATATAATTAGCAGGTTTAATATAAAAACGCGTTTTATAGTTAAATTTATAAAAATTCTATTTTTAGTGGTTATTTGTACTAAACGGTGATGGAGAAGTTACCATACAAAACCAAAAGTCCAAAATAGAAGAGTATACCATGTTCACAGTACCTCTAGGTAAGTTTTTATATAAAAAAACAATAATGTTAAATTATTATTGTATACAATTACACGAGTTTACAAAATGGAAAAAAATGTCTGCCCACCATATCCCATTATAATTTTCCCATGTATTTTGACTCAGTAAACACGAAAATCACAATCAATTTTTTTCATGGAAGCGTTTTTGAGAATGAATTTTTTTTTTTTAATTTTTTTGACGTTTTTAAGTATAGTTAAAAATCTAATTGATCGATTTGACCAAACAAGCCCTTAATTTGAAGGTATTTGAGCCCTCTAAAACTTTCTTCTTCATAAGTTTGATATCGGAAAAGTATTTTAATGCTAGCGATTTTGATACCATAAAAAATTCGTTTTTATGGCAAAAATTGAGGTCGAAAATTTACATATCGTCCTGGGGAAAGGTTTAAATCAAACAGATAACTCTAGTTTAATTTTTTTCGTAAAGCTGACATTTTTTACAAAAAAAAACAAACTAATGTTAATAAAAATCCATGGTTAAATGGCGAAGTTATGAATTTTTTAGTGGATACCAAAATTCAGCTTTTTGACGAGTTTTAGTTTTTTTTCTTTTATTTTGTAATAATATTATTAACATATTATGTTTATTTTTTAATAAAAACCTAATTTAAGTGCATGATTGGAATTTTTTTGCGATTAGTCAGCCAAACTACACAAGAAAATCATAGTAAGACATGGTTGTAAACTAGTGTACATTAGTGTTATTAATACAAACATTAACTTGAAATATTTTTATTCAAATATAAATGTTTTTGTTTGTTTTTAGGTTGCTCATATTCGCTAAAAAATCTTAGTAATATTACACAGCTGAAATTATTATTTGTCAAGCAAAGGGACACCTCTGCCAGAAAAAACTAAACTGTATTGTACTGTATAACATGTAGATAAATATATTTTTATAATTTTTTATAATATATAACTTAAATTATTCTTTCTTATTTTGCAAATTTTCTAACTGGTACAAAATTATTGTTGTGTATGATATTTCACTGTTATTATAGTAATTGTGTGTTAATGTTATTTAAATAAAATTAATATTTTAATTTTTAAACACAGGGTTGTATTTTTCAATACCTTAACCACTGTGGAGATTATAAAGTCATAATATAAAATCCAGGTAAATATTATAATAATTTTATTTTTTATTATGTTCATTATTAATAAATTCTCGAAATAAAACACTTGCTATTTTGCAAAGTAGGACGTGTCATATGTTATAATATTATTAAATATTGTTCATTTCTTGCATTTCGCCCGCGGTCTGAAGTTGGCTTTGAGTTAAAATTTAATAAAAGTGAGGTTAAAATTTAAAGTATCAAATAAAATTGGCTTTAAATTCATTGCGGTAGTTAAATAAAATTTTCTGTGGTCAAAAGAGGAGATTTCACTCGCGTGTTAATACAATTTTTAAATATATACAAAATATACAATATATTGATGGTTGTTAATAAAATCGTATAGGTACAAACCTCGGTAGAAATTTTCATTTCTGTTTCAGGTCTCAGATAACTTTATAAATTTCTCGACAGTAATGAAACACTTCCCACCTCGAAATGTAATGTACTATTAATTGTTTACCTAGATAATTTGAAATGCTCCACTGTGCAACAGTATCGCGCGACCCTTTTCCTCTCGAAAAAAACGGCACATGCGCCTTTGGGGAAAACGTCGTTTGCAACGGCCCGCGCTATTTTCAGTTCGCGTTCATTTTTCCCGGCGTCGGTAGCGTCGTGACGCGCGCCCTGTCTCTCTTCTGACTGACACTTCATATTCAATGGACGTTTTTTTGGTTTAGAAACACCGGGACCCTCAAAAATTTACAGAGGTATTGTGCAATAAATAAGGCGTACTTTTTATACATCCCCCAATAGTTTTTTGAATTTTTTCTGTTGATGCACTTGATTTTGGGTAAAAGTTCGTGGTTTTGTATGTTTACACAAACAGATTATTCTTTTTGTGTTCCGAGGTTTGATAATCAAACCTCAGAACAATAAAATAATTTATTATCACGGCTAAATTATGGTTTAAAATTTATTTTAGTAATTGGTAAATATAGCAATTGCATTAGTTATTTTTATTGTAATAATTTCAAATTTTAATCATTGTAATAATTTTGAAATAATTTACAATTTCTAGAAATTGTAAATTCTGTAGTCAATAAACATAATAATAGTTAAAAACTTTTATAAGGTAATTGGTCATTTTCATTAATAATGCTTGATATTATTAGATTATCATGTCAATATTAATTTTGCTAACCCATTTAATAATTATTAATAGCTACCTATTTATTGTTTTATAAAGGAGCAAAATAATTCTCCCAGATAACATTCGTGAATGCACATTAAACTCACACCGGGCGCACGCCGTGAATCTTCAAAATTGCATTCATCGTGAATTCACCGTGAGTTCTCAGATAACATTTGTAATGCACATTTAATTTACATAGGGCGCACGCCGTGAATCTTTAAAAATGAATTCATCGTGAATTCACTGTGAGTTCCCAGATAATATTCTTAATGCACATATAATTCATGCCGGGCGCACGCCCTGAATCTTTAAAAATGAATGCATTGTGAATTCACTGTGAGTTTCCAAATTACATTCGTATATGCACATTAAACTCCTACCGGGCCAGTGATGCCAGATATACGGATTTTTCCGTATTCTACGGAATTTCGAGTGTATTGGGAAAATATACGGATTTTTATACGGATTTTGGGGGCAATACGGATTTTATACGGATTTATAACAAATCCAAATTTTATACCTAAATTATCGCCAACTCTGTAGTTACAGCCTTTCGTTCTTTGGGGTGATTTTTACCCAAATATTTTTAGGCTAAAAATCTTTTTTTTTTTCGGTTTTACTTATCCACAAGACTGAACTAAATACAGTTATCTGTAAATTACAGACTGTAATAGACAGGTTGCTGTAATGCATATTATTAAAACTATAGGAATCTGCACTTTTGACAGTTGAAGTTTAGTTTCAAGTAAACAGAGAATAGTATATACCTAATATTTGAAATCGTCAAACTCGCCTTCGGCTCGTGTGACAAACTTTTCACTCGAGCGGAATATGCAATTCCAAACGTGTACCATAAAAAAATAATTTAATTAGCAGAAAGTGAAGTTTGATTTATCTAAAATTTGTTAGATATTAAACACAGAGATGACGCCACCAGTGTTTAATACCATATACTTGGTAAGTATAAGTGATATTAGAACGGTTATATTCCATATAATAGGAGTTGAAAAAAATAATTAAAAGAATTGCCTTCTTGCTCAAGACTTAAAAATTAAATTATACTACGTTTTTTATTCTAAAAAATAAATCATCAACATGGAAATTAAATATCCCCTAAATTAGTCTAATTATTGATAAAAAAATTACGTAATAAGTGTAAAATACGAAATACGGAATTATACGGATTTTTTTTCTTAATCCCCACCATACTACTAGGTAAAATACGGATATTCAGCGCTAAAGATCTGGCATCACTGTACCGGGCGCACGCCGTGAATCTTCAAAATTGAATGCATCGTGAATTCACCGTGAGTTCACAGATAACATTTGTAATGCACATTTAATTCACATAGGGCGCACGCCGTGAATCTTTAAAAATAAATTAACCGTGAATCCACTGTGAGTTTCCAAATTACATTCGTAATCCACATTTAATTCACACCGGACGCACGCCGTAAATCTCCAAGATTTTATACAGATCTGTTAGCACGTTTAATTAAAGATCTTCAAATTTATTTTGATAGGTTAGCTATACCTCATTTTGATAGGGGGTATACCTACCCTATCAAAATAAATTTGAAGCCCGAATTCGAAATAAGAAAACATATCATTAAAGGAATATTAATTAAACATTTTTATTAAATATTAAACGGAAAATAAAAAAGTACATTTTTTAATTAATATCAATTAATAATATTTAATATATGTACCTATAATAGGTACCTATATAGTTATAATAATTATTAATTATAATTATATATAATAATTGCAAAACCAAATACGCGAGCACTCGTGCGCATGCGCCTATGGCCGTCACATTTCAACTAAATAACCAGCATGCAGGGTTGCCGCTTGCAGGTATTTGACCCGAAAATCGCGTATTTCATCATGCTTGCAAGTAAAATATTGAAGCAGGTATTTTATAAATTTCGACCAAAATACTTTTCAATGAAATTTTCAGTAAATAATATTGTATAACTACTAACTAAACATAATTCTTTAATTCTATCCCTTTATTTTTCCCTCAATTTATTCAAAATTTAATTCACTTTTCCAAATTGAGCAAATGTACTAGGAATTTTTACTCGTGTGGGTAATTTCTAGTATTTAGTAATTTTTGGTCGGGAACTTTCATGAAAATCATCCGGCTGCCATCCGGCAACACTGCAGCGTTAGTGTGCGTACGCAGCTAAGAGCCACGAGGTTTTCTATAGAATACCATTATGTTCTGTGGTCATAGAGAAATGTCTGTGATACCATATATGGTAAACATCTAGCTAGATATCCTGTATATCGGTAAAACGTTCAGTTCATATCCTTTTTCTATGGTTCAGTTTCAAGGTGTATGTATCTTGGTTCAGTTTTATAATATATACATAGGTATTCAGTTCAATAAATACTTAAGTTGCTAGCCAGGAATTCCAAAGGTAAGTTTGACATTTTTATATTTTTGCATGATCAAATTTAAGATACGAATTGTTACAATTATTGCAAAAACAACAAAAACAATGAATAACCATGGTTATAACGCTTTATTGTGGTTATATTTTTTTATAAAGTTTTTATTCATTGTTTTTGTTGTTTTTGAATCAGATCACGTCAAGTGGCCCCCCCATTTTCCACTTGGTAATAGAATTGAAATTTTAATACATCAATCGTTAGTAGTCATTAGTAACAATATTTCCTTAAAATATATTTTTTTTTAATTTTAATTTTAACAGAGTTGTTTTGTAACAAAGATTTTTCTCACTTTTAATTAAAAAAATAATTGTGAAAAAAACTGTTAAAAGTTTCCTAATGAAATTTTCAGGACTTATAGGCTAATATATGTATTATTTTAAACAAATAAAAAACTTTTTTTTTTATACTTTTTTTGATGATTGAAATATACAATTCAAATTTTTGATAAAGTCTCTATCAAATAATCAAGTTTTTTTTCATGGTTACATATCCTGAAAAAAATTTCACTGCCCGGCATTATTTTAAACATTATTAATTTTTTAGTGCCGCTCGGCTGAATTGGTTTGAATGCTTTGTTTTTATTTGAATTCAAAATATGACATTCATTTTAATATTTTTATTAGTAAATATACCGTCGACAAATATTTTACAATTTTTTAATCAATAAAATGAATGAATTAATTAATGCAGAATATTTTTATTAGCTATCGCAAGACTTTTCTTTTTTTTGTTCTAAGCGTTTTTTAAATAATATTTATTAAATTTTATAAAATGAGTCTTGTAAATAAATGCTGTACCTAATCCATTAAATGTTATAATTTATATATTTTTTAAGGACCAAAAAGAAATTAAAATAAGGGGAAAAATTATGAGTTATTTGACTCATTTGATGATGTGTCCAGTGATGAATCAGTAAGTATACTTATCTGTAGATGTGCTTATATCATTGTAATTTCATATATGTGATATATAATATATATTATAATAAAATATTATATAGGTAGTATTATACTCATGTGTATGCATTAATTAGTATTATTGATGTTATAATTCATATTTTTTTTAAGGTTAAAGAGGAAATTGAAACCTCTGAGGTTGATTTGGAATAAACTTTACAACATAACCCATTGTGTTTTATTTCAGTATACTATTGTACCTCAAGTTTAATTGGATGGCATAATTGTCTAAAAAAATATTCTCCAATTGGACTTAAATCACATCTATATTTAACATTTTTCATTTGACTTTATTTACAAATATAACAAAATCTGTTATTTTAAAAAATAACACGTTTTATTTTGTGTTCCAATATAAAATTAAGTGCAAAAAAAAATTGAGTA